AAAAAAAAAAAAAAAAAAGATGGCAGAAGAGAGTAGGCAACAATTTTAAAAGCTTGAGGAAAAATCATATTCACCCACTGTTGTATTGCGATAGCTTTCTTCAGTGTTCTAAAACATTAGGAACAACTTTTATATGAGACACTAGTTATGCCAGTCAACATGAGTATCTTGGTTACATTATTCAAAAAATTTGAATCCCAGTTTGTGCCATTTCTCCCCCAGCCCCTACTCATTCCAGTATATTGGCTACAAATTATATCAGTCACCTTATTCAAGACAAACGACTAGAGTACGCTGAGAAATAAATCCGCTCTAGGTATTTCATCCCCTCTAGCCTCATTTGCTTCAGAAACACATACACAAAAACTGAAAATACTAAGTTGCCTCTTTCTTCTCTTAGACCAGGTTGTTGTTGTTATGTGCCGTCAAGTCGGACCTGACTCATAGCGACCCCTCCTTGGGTTTCCGAGGCAGTATCACTATGGAAGTAGATTGCCCCATCTTCCTTACGAGGAGTGGGTGTGGTTTGAACCACCAGCCTTCTGGTTAGCAGTCAAGTGCCTTAGGCAATATGCTACCAGAGTTCCCTTATAACAGGTAACAGTGGTGAATTCTGTTCCAACTCATGAGAACCTCAAGTGTGTCAGACAGAACCACATGCCTTGAATTTTCAATGGCTGATTTTTTGGAAATAGATTTCCAGGCCTTTCTTCTGAGGTACCTGGGGGTGGGCAGAAATGTCCAACCTTTGGGTTAGCAGCTCAGCATGTTAACTGTTTACACCACCGAAGGACTTCTCCTAAGTCATGGGCATTTCTCAAGCTCCCCTTAAAACTCTTCTCTGAGACTGGGGCCCGGCATAAGTACCTGTTAATTCCTCTTGTGTTGCTTTTCATGGTATAAAGCTTGTGGATTTATTTATTCAACAGACGTTTACCCATCTCTTGTCTTGGTAAAATTGGAGATGCAAAAGTCAAGTGTCTTGCTATTCTTTTAACATGCTAAGACATGGAAGAACAAAAGTAAGTCAACAGTAAAACTGCCTAGGGATAAGCATTATTGGTTGGTAGCACAAAGATGGCAATCCAAAATATGAGGAGCTTCTTGGAAGGAATCTCGGAAGGAAGACTGGGCAATCTACTTCCATAGAGAGATACTGCCTGGGAGACCCAAGGAGTGGTCGCTATGAGTCAAATCCAACTCAACAGCAGTGAGTTCGGAACTTGGCTCTTGGAAGGAATGTTTGCATGGAGTTATAAAAGGACAGGTAGAGGTTAGCTAATTGAAGAGTGGGAGGGAAGATGCTCCAGAGAGGAAAACACTGGCAGAAAAAAAATGTAGTCCACTTAAGGAACTTTATGTAGTTCATTGCTTCTGACATCACAGCTGTCAGCTTCCTCTTGTCATACTGCTTGTACATCCTTTTGTAGTCACCTCCATAATCTGCACACGTGCGTTTTTTTTGGTACCAAGAGAGGGCTTGGAAGGCTTTAGCTCTCTTATGAGTCACATTCTCTCTCACCCCAATTATTTGTGAGTTAATTGTAATTATTGGGTTTGGCAATGTATATTTTATCTTGAACAAAAACTGTTTCTGGACCCTCCTTCCAACCAAACTGGGCTCCAAAGTCTATGGTACAGTCAATCCATTATGGCATTTCTCTTCTAGGTGGAAATGGCCTGGGATTCCTGAGGTGTTTGGCCATGTGTAATTCCTCCAGGTTGCCTGAAGACTTCTGCCATTATCATGCTAATACTATGTAGCTGTCCGTCTGTCTTAAACAGCTTTCCTTCCTTTACTGTAACTGACCTCTTTCTTCACTGATCTCTTAACATGTCTTAAAGCTTCTATTGACTAAAATAGTGGTTTTCACACTTAAAAATAAAAAGATTCAAATTCTTTCTTCAGTGAAAAGTTATATAAAACAGATTAGGTTGTTCTGTCTGGAATACCGGTAATGGACCTGAAATCTCACCTACTCAACAGCTATTCCTCCCTCCCAGTGGCCCCTTAAGGATTTTAAACCCAAATTTAAAGGTACCATATTTAAGCATCACATAAAACATTGCACAACACAACTATCTAAACAAAGCACAGCATATCCAGTTTATTACACATAGTAGCTCATTTCTTACCACATATTGTAACCCAGCCCATCTTACCTTCTGCAGATTACTCTCTTGATTTTTCTGTTCAGTCCTATTTCCCCATGTTGTTGTTATTGTTGTTATGTGCCGTTGAGTTGGATCTGACTCATAGCGACCGCTCCTTGGGTTTCCGAGGCAGTATCACTACGGAAGTAGATTGCCCCATCTTCCTTCCGAGGAAGTGGCTGGTGGATTTGAACTGCCAACCTTCTGGTTAGCAGTCAAGTGCCTTAGCCACTATGCTACCAGAACTACCATTTTCCCATAGCAGGAGCCTTTAAGTCTTTGTTTGATCACAGATTCTGAAAGGAATCCTCCCTGTTTCTTTGACTTGTTCAAGCATGTGGCCAATCCATGAAACTCAGGATCCAAAACTCAGCTATGCAAAGAGATTTTGGAAGGAAAAGAAAAGAAGTAATTATTGAAATAACAACTATAGCAGCCAACTCACATTTTGCAGAATTCTTTGGAAGAAATCATGATTCTATAGACAGTTCAATGGAAAAAGACTTAATATGAACTTTGAGTAGTTCATATTAAACAATTAACAACAGAGAGGCTCAGAATAGTCTGCAAGTAGTAACATACTCCTGGATATAAGAGGAATTGCTTAGCTGAGTCTACTTTTAGATCCATTTAGCCAAATGGTTACTGAATGTTTCCCTGAAACTCAGTATGTTCAAAACAGAACTCATTATCTTTCTCACTAAACCTATTCTTCGTGTCTACTCCAGTTGAGTGATTGGCAACCCCAGCATCCCTGCATCAACAATTGCCCAAGCTTGAAACCTGTAGACATACCATATACTCCCTGTCATTGCCTCTATACCCAAACACCAAGTTCTGATGGTTCTGATTCCTTTATATCACTTACATTCATCAAATCCTCCTTCCTGGTCTTTCTGGTTCAATCTGGACCCTCTTCAAGTCATCCTCTACACCTTTGCCAAAGTGATCTTTCAAATGTACAAATCTGATAATATTTTTCTCTTTCTTGAAATCCTTTATGTGCTCCCCATAGCTTTCAGGATGTTTAAATACATTAAAAGCACAAAGTGTATTCCTGGCCACCTCTAATTTCATCTCCAGCTGTGTCAGCTGGACCAGCCTCATCTATTTGACTTAAGCTTTCTTTGAAGAAAAGATTCTATGGTTTTAGAAAAAGCCATGGAAACCATTATCTTCTACATATGATGCACTCACAGGTTTTAACAACACAGGTTGTTCACTAATTCATCCTGTCAGAGCCAGAGCATGCAAGAACATTAGCACATGGAAAGTAGCTACCAAACAGTAAACAAATCAACATTCCCTTGTAAATAATAGTTTCATGATGGAAAATCAATATTTACTCTTACATCATTGTTGTCTGTAGGTTTGCTGCAGGTCCAGCTTTCACGCAGTGGCCTCTGGACAGCCCTGGGCTGGTGTCATGACAGCTCTTGAAGCAAAACTGCTCTGAGGGCAACCTGTACATGGGGTGCACCCAGGCTTGGGGGCAAGCCTCCCCTGAACTCTATATAGGTACCCCTTGTGCTCTGGACAGGCTCCTTTGTGCTTTGGCCAGGATTTCTGTGGCTGCTGGGCCCATTCTTGATCTCTGCTCCTCTACTGTCGCAGCTTTAAGCGTATTTTAGTTCTCAACTTACTTCTCTCAGACCATTCTGCTGCCACTTCTGTGTTCAGCTGACACCGGTTTCTGCTTTCTCCTGTTCTCTACCTCTCTTTCTCCTAGCTCTGCTTTTTACCGGTTCTAGGGTTTCTGCTGTTATTCATAGGGTCTCTCCTGAAGAATTTTCCAATCCCCAATCCCCTGGGCTGATATCACCATCCTGGGACAAGGATTGGAGGGGGTAGGGAGGTAGTCTTTAGCAGAAAGCTCCCGTGTACCAAGAAACATGCTTTCCCCTCAGAGCAGAATGTTAGCACTCTCCAATCCAGGAAGCTTCAATGAGCCTCCTTCTTCCTAGGCTTTTATTGGCCTCACCACACCTCCTGAGGCTTAGTATGGAGCCTCCAGGTGATTCCTCTTAGGTCAGCCTCCACTCGGAACTAAAACCAAAAGGCCAAAGGGAACCCAATAGACACCGTAAAGAATTAAGCCAAGATATACAGAGAGATCAGTGACTAGAGTGAAGAAAGGGAGCTTGTTAGTGACCCCACGTGTGCAGAGTTGTACTGTGCTCCATAAGGTTTTCAAGGCTGTGACCTTTCAGGTTCTGACGCATCTCTGGGTGGGTTCAGAACCACCAGCTTTTTGACTAGTAATCAAGCACTTAACTGTTTATGGCACCCAGGACTCCTAAGCAAAGAAGTTCTTTTCAATGATAGATGGACAGCTCCATGGTATTAGAATAACTT